TCTCTCGGACAGTTATTCTATTTTTTTCTATGGTTACCTGATATTGTCTTCAAGCTTGCCTCAACTTGACGCCTCACGAAGAGGAAAATGGATGCCTACCACTGTTCGTCGATTTCTTTCTGCACCAGCGATCGCGCTTTCATTATAATCTTCTCATACTTTTTCCTGTCCTCATTAGCCCTAGACGTTTCAATCCTAAGTAACTTTACTTTAAATTTATGCACAGCTTCGTCCGAAAAAAACCCGTTCTCTTTGTCCGAAGAAAGTTCGGTATTTGATCATTTTTTTTCGGACATTTTGTCAGAAACTTTAGTCTATTTACAGACAGTTGATTTTTTAAAAAAAAATTTAAATAGTTTAACGCAATTTTCCAAGTTATTTTCATTTTTTTTTGAGTCAAGCAGGCAAAAGTACTGTGGTCATTGTTTTGCAGGCCACATTTAATGAAAAACACGAGGCGCAAAGCAAAACAATTTACACTCTCCTTACCCCTGTCATTGAAGCACAGACTCTTCCTCTGCCTTCAGCTGCTGCTGACGTCTTGCTTTCGCCTTCCCCCGTGTTTGCGAAAGCAAAACCTTTTTTACGAAATTTTCTAAGAAACTTTTGTCTATATACAAGTACTTGATTTTTTAAAGCACTTTAAATATTCTAAAACAATTTTTCAAGTTAGATTACTTTTTAAGTACTGTGATGATTGTTTTGCAGTCCACGATTAATGAAAATCACAAGGCATAACGCATCAAGCATTAATCCTACAAGGAGCTAAGGAGTCCTCTACCGTTACATCCCAAAAGTGATGCTTACCAACAGCCCGTGGAACGAGCGTCAAACGGAATGTGAGTAGAAGATAAACTCTGCTTTATAAGGGCATTCAGGGTTGAATCTCTCTGCACTTTTGAGGCAAGAAAGACCAGGCCAACCATCCTCAGTAACGTCTTTTCCGCACACGCATTTTTGCCGTTCGCATATTTTTGAACCCAATCGAAGTCCTATCGCAATTCTGAGTTGTTGGTTTGACAGTTTTAACCTTAAACTTTTGCACGGGATAAAGTTCAAACATTGGGAGCCATGTTTATCTTGGAACGCGTTGAATCTTTTTACGTCCGTTGGTTCGAGTCGTTAAATCAAAACTGCAATTTCGCTGTCAAAAATTGGCTCTGTCCAATTTTTTTGGATTACATTTTCCGGAGCCATTTCTATTTTTCCAAGTTCAAACCACGGTTTAAGCGCATCTTCATAGGTTCCATCCACATGCTCCAAACCAAAAATTTAGCTCAAGGCATTTTTCGCTTCTGCTGCTGAGGCTAAAAAAGCGGGTAAGGCGAGTAGACGAGCGGAAGAAACGCCCAAGCCACCTTTGGCTGCCGGAAGAACTGCTTGTAAAAAATGGTTTTCGTCCATTTTCAAATTAATGACCCTGCATAACGAATTTCTTATTAATTCGTCGTAGCGTTCCACAAAGTCAGTTTTGCGAAAAACAAGGGCTCGTACGCAAAAAATATATGAGTTTCGTTATGCTAGAGCAGTTTTTTAGGAGGTAAAAACCATAGTAGGCGTCTAGTTTCTCAATGACATTGGAGTTTTTTCAAGCTCCTTAATTTTTTTTTGGGGAGCATTGTTTTTCCGCAAAGTTCGCCGATTGGAGATCCTAAAATGAGGAGTTCTTCTTTTGTTTTTATGCTCAGGCCGTAAATTTGTTCCGATTTCAGAATGTTTTAAGGTCCCGGTGTACTACCTTATAGTCGTCGGCTTTATTTCCATCATTTAAAAACTAGATGTTATTTTTCGACTCCAACTGTTAGTTTGATTTTTATTTTTTTTTGAGCCAAGCAGGCAAAAAAACTGTGGTCATTGTTTTGCAGGCCACATTTAATGAAAAACACGAGGCGCAAAGCAAAACAATTTACACTCTCCTTATCCCTGTCATTGAAGCACAGACTCTTCCTCTGCCTTCAGCTGCTGCTGACGTCTTGCTTTCGCCTTCCCCCGTGTTTGCGAAAGCAAAATCTTTTTTCAGACATTTTCTAAGAAACTTTTGTCTATAAACAAGTACTTGATTTTTTAAAGCACTTTAAATATTCTAAAACAATTTTTCAAGTTAGGTTACTTTTTAAGTACTGTGATGATTGTTTTGCAGTCCACGATTAATGAAAATCACAAGGCATAACGCAAAACACTTCATCAAGCATTAATCCTACAAGGAGCTAAGGAGTCCTCTACCGTTACATCCCAAAAGTGCTGCTTACCAACAGCCCATGGAACGAGCTTCAAACCGTCTGGTCGCTTCTGATCGGTCCTGTAGAGGTGTCTTGGTTCTAAAACAGACGGAATGTGAGTAGAAGATAAACTCTGCTTTTTAAGGGCATTCAGGTTTGAATCTCTCTGCACTTTTGAGGCAAGAAAGACCAGGCCAACCATCCTCAGTAACGTCTTTTCCGCACACGCATTTTTGCCGTTCGCATATTTTTGAACCCAATCGAAGTCCTATCGCAATTCTGAGTTGTTGGTTTGACAGTTTTAACCTTAAACTTTTGCACGGGATAACGTTCAAACATTGGGAGCCATGTTTATCTTGGAACGCGTTGAATCTTTTTACGTCCGTTGGTTCGAGTCGTAAAATCAAAACTGCAATTTCGCCGTCAAAAATTGGCTCTGTCCAATTTTTTTATATTTCATTTTCCGGAGCCATTTCTATTTTTCCAAGTTCAAACCACGGTTTAAGCTCATCTTCATAGGTTCCATCCACATGCTCGAAACCAAAGATTTTGCTCAAGGCATTTTTAGCTTCTACTGCTGAGTCTAAAAAAGCGGGTAAAGCGAGTAGACGAGCGGAAGAAACGCCCAAGCCACCTTTGGCTGCCGGAAGAACTGCTTGTAAAAATTGGTTTTCGTCCATTTTCAAATTACTGACCTTGCATAACGAATTTCTTATTAATTCGTCGTAGCGTTCCACAAAGTCAGTTTTGCGAAAAACAAGGGCTCGTATGCAAAAAATATAGGAGTTTCGGTATGCTAAAGCAATTTTTCAGGAAGTAAAAACCATAGTAGGCGTCTAGTTTCTCAATGACATCGGAGATTTTTCAAGCTCCTTAATTTTTTTGTCGAGCATTTTTTTCCGCAAAGTTCGCCGATTGGAGATCCTAAAATGAGGAGTTCTTATTTTGTTTTTATGTTCAGGCCGTAAATTTGTTCCCATTTCAGAATGTTTTTAAGGTCCCGGTGTACAACCTTATAGTCCTCGGCTATATTTCCATCATTTAAAAACCAGATGTTAATTTTCGACTCCAACTGTTTGACTAGTGTCTGAATTATTTTGCAAAAAGGATTGGGGTTTCAGGATCACCTGGCTGAGTTCGGTCTTCTGACATTATGACAGAGCTTCCGTAAAAAAGGTAACTAGGTTTACTATACGCGCAATGGGTGTAATTATACAATTCGGGGCGACTTGAATAAACATGACTCAGCATTGTTTCTCTATTTAGAGAGTTAAAGGCAATCTTAAAATCATTCTTAAAATCTAGTTTTATAACAGTGCATTTTGGATTGTCGTCGCGTTCAATTAGGTTTCGAAACGAGTGTGCAGCTATTTCTGCTTCTCGTTTGGTACCGTATCCTACCTGTGTTTTTCCGAAAAAAACTTGTCGCTCGGTGAGGGCATTGCTTCCAGCGCAATTAGACGCAATACGCCTCAGCGTTATGCCTATTGCAATCGGTCTCAACCCTCCGTCTATCTTTATGAGGGCGATTAGCTTTAGGCCAAAAAAGAAAGATTTAAGGGGTTCGGGTATTTTGCCATCTCCAATGAGGTTTATCAGCATAGTAAGCAATTTCAGAAAATTAGGTCCTGCACTGCCATTCGAATTAATAACAAGATCTTTAAAAATTTCAGGAACTATTTTATCAGGACCTGCTGCTGATCCGTATAGGTCGAAATCGGTCACGACCAAACTATCTAATTTTTCTGGATTTGGAGCTGCAAATTTGACTCACTGAGATTGCTTAGACAACAATTTTGATGGTTATCAGTTGAAAAAAGAGCATTTTTGTCATCCGAAGCAGCAAGCTTTATTCCTCTCTTTACATTTCCTTCATCGAGCTTACTACTTATTAGCTTTATTCTCCGCTCGAGGTCACTCAGAGGCGAGCTTAAAACTTGGGGATGGGTTTTTGGAAGTGACACGTCATTTCTCTCAAAATTTTTATAAAACAAAGAACTCATGCTTGTGGTCTGTTTGCGACCACTTCTTTTCGGTTGTTCCAAAAAAAACAAGAACGACGTAAAAAAAATTAGCCATTTTGTAAAATCTTCTACATTGTAGACGATGCAATTTATTTTGTCCGACAGAGTTTCCGCCAAGGGAAGACGCGAGTCTTTTGGTTTTCTCTTGAGTACTCGGACATTTGAGATGGCTGTATTAACATAATTGTCTAGCACTAAATCATTACCTATTGTTGCTTTATTAACAAATTTTACATCAACACATTAAGAACACTGCACTGATTGGGTTTTCTTAGAGTCGCGAAGAGAAATAATTACACAATTGATATGATACCAACTAGAACAACACTCAGATCTAAGCCAATTTATCAGTCCTGAAGGTTTTAAGAAATCTTTGCCTGTACACTCTTTTTTTTTCCTCATCTTGACGCAGCATAAAGGTAAAAAAAAGGATTTTGACTGGACTTTAGGGGACTGAACTAACCCATGATAAGCTGTTAGTGGTAATTTTGTAAATCAGCAAATAAAAAAAAAGACAATTAAAATATTTTAAATTTTAAAATCGAATTACAAAAATCAAAAACAAGGAACAATCTCACCCGAGCTCAGTAGGTCCAGCGGTGCACCACCAGACTCTTCAAGCCAGTTCCAGTTTCCCACCTCCCCACAGAAAGCCACTTGACAGACCTGTCTCTAAAATCCCTCAGGCGCTCCACAAACAGGCACAAACGTCAAACATAACAAATCTATTTAATAAGTTTATCACAATTTTTAGTCCAATTGTTGTGATAAACTTATTAAATAGATTTGTTATGTTTGATGTTTGTGCCTGTTTGTGGAGCGCCCTCTGAGGGATTTTAGAGACAGGTCTGTCAAGTGGCTTTCTGTGGGGAGGTGGGAAACTGGAACTGGCTTGAAGAGTCTGGTGGTGCAACGCTGGACCTACTGAGCTCGGGTGAGATTGTTCCTTGTTTTTGATTTTTTTAATTCGATTTTAAAATTTAAATTAATTTAATTGTCTTTCATTTTTTTTGTTTGCTAATTTACAAAAATCCCACTGACCGCTTAAAATGGGATAGTTCAGTCCCCTAAAGTCCAGTCATAATCCTATTTTATACCTTTATGCTGCGTAAAGATGAGGAAAAACAACAAAGAGTGTACAAGCAAAGATTGCACAAAACCTTCAGGACTGATAAATAGGCTTGGATCTGATTGTTGTTCTAGTAGGTATCATATCAGTTGTGTAATTATTTCTCTTCGCGACTCTAAGAAAACCCAATCGTTGCAGTGTTCTTAATGTGTTGATGTACAATCTGTTAATAAAGCAACAATAGGTAATGATTTAGTGCTAGACAATTATGTTAATACAGCCATCTCAAATGTCCGAGTACTCAAGAGAAAACCAAAAAACTCGCGTCTTCCCTTGGCGGAAAGTCTGTCGGACAAAATAAATAACATCGTCTACAATGTAGAAGATTTTACAAAATGGCTAATTTTTTTTAACGTCTTTCTTGTTTTTTTTTTGGAGCAACCGGAAAGAAGTGGACGCAAACAGACCACAAGCATGAGCTCTTTAATTTATATTAAAAATTTCGAGAGAAATGACGTGTCACTTCCAAAACCCATCCCCAAAATTCAAGCCCGCCTCTGAGTGACCTCGAGCAGAGAATAAAGCTAATAAGTAGTAATCTCGAAGAAGGAAATGAAAAGGGAAGAATAAGGCTTGCTGCTTTGGATGACAAAAATGCTCATTTTTCGACTGATAACCATCAAAAATTGTTGTCTAAACATCCTCAGTGAGCCTAATTAGAGATGGCAAAATACCCGAACCTGATCTTGAACACTGAGAAGTGCAACCTTTATTTTTTGGGACCGACTACGAGTGCACAGTATAATTCAAATATAACACAGTTTCGAAAAATATGCCCCAAAATAAAAACAAAAACAAAAGAAGAACTTGTAACATTCGCCCAAATATCACACAGCGACGGAGCGTAGAAAAAGTACCTATTAACGACTGGCAGGCGTCAGTTACCTTAATCCTACTCGTTTTTCACCGTCTCGACCTTGCCAGTTGATTTTCTGGTCTGTTTAGGGCAAAGTAAAAAGTTACCATTTTTAGGCCATCAGTCAAACGACTTTTGATCAGCTTTCGTTTACATGCGAACACAACCACATAGCTGAGTCTCGGATCCTCAGACTACGTGATTGTCATTAAAAACACGGCTCGAACAACCTATGTTTATATGTTTTTGTGTGACAGCTTTATGTTAAATCTATTGGAGATGGATTGACCCTTTCCTTTTTCTAGCTACTCATGCTCTGAAATATTAAGTAATAACGGTGTTAATTAAGATCTATGACATTATAGCAGCTATACAGTCAGTTTACACAGTCCCTTCACATAGACAGTCTCTGGGGGACCAAGCCTCCGCTCCCGTAATATTCTTGAGATAACACTCTTATCTCTTATTTTTCGTGTCCCGGGAGGGTCCCGTGGTATATTTCTTCCCCCACTGAAGCCTCCTTCTCCACCAATATCTGTTGACAAGTGTCTTATCGTGCGTTGTTGCCACGATAAGAGGCTTCGTATTTTCCGTCTCTGGTACGACTGTTCTTCACAATATATGGCGTCGTTGTGTTTTCTCTTCTTTTTTAGTCAAAATGGCCGACTTTTCCTATTTCTCAGAAATGTTCACTCTTCAATCGAAATTTTGAAAAATAAAATTTTAGAACATTCTGACCCTCCTTCGCAACACTTTTTCGTTCATAAGGCCTTTAGCCGTCCTTTTTTACGTCGCCGGAAGGTTGTGCTGTGTCATCTGGCAGAATGGCACATACTCCCCGGACAAGTCTCCATCAATGTCCCTATTGATCGCATAACACCGGGTTATCGTCAAGTAGTTATCCAGTTTTCTGTAATCAATCTTACAAATTGCATAAGAAAATGAAATTTATCTACTCCACCTCAACTCACTACGTGTTCACAAATGGCATCGTACTACATCTCACTGCCTTCCAACATTTTCACAAAATTTGCACCATGAGGAGTGTCCTAGATAAAATTTCTTTTCTGACTACTTACGTCGTCTTGCCATAAAACTTCTTTTTGCTCTTTGTGATTAAAAAGTGGGACGTGGCACGGCCACGCACCCGTTAAAATTAACTTAACATTACTCACCAAGTATAATCAGTCATTTATGCAGTCCTTTCAATATTAAAACTAAGAAACTCTGTGGCTAGGAAAGTTCTTGAGTTACCCACCCTTCCAGAGCGAGTTTACTCAAACTTACCATGTCGCCACACAGTGAATTTGTGTCTTACACAGGTTAAAAACTCCAGTCGTGAATAAATAGGTAAATATACTCACCTATGCTCCTTATATACATACATAGATAGTAGTAACTAAAATCAACAATTTCAACAATTTTAACAATTGCAACAATTTTCAAAGTTTGGTCTGACCAAACTATATCAAAACAGAAAGTTTCACAAGTTCAAAAATCAAAACTTGGTTGATTGGTTTAAGTTTTAGCACACAAATACAATCAAGTTTTCTCTCCTTCTCTTCTCTGGTCATCTTCACTCCATCACTTCTCCATCCTGATGTTCAGCGTCACTGTCTTCCAGGACTTTCTCTAACATGTCCAGAGAGTTGCGGGCCGTGCCCCAACCCTCCTGTTCCAACAGCCTCGGTTTGCAACAAGGTAGCAAGTCCACATTCACCTTCTGCTCCCGGTTCCTGCAAAAGCTGTTGTGAAGGCCTAGGCTCACGTTTCGTTCTAGGTCAGCTCTTAAGACCTCTCTCTTCTCATCTTCAGTAACACAAGGCGCTCCAGCTACCCGCTTCACCGCTGTGGTGACCGCGTTTCTGTGCGTCAGGAATGCTCGTTTATAGGCTCCTGGTCCTATATCTAGCTGGAAAGATTGATAGGCTTCCGTGTTCCTTGACATGTGACGCTTCGCGCGTTCATACATCCAAGATGTCATCACTGCACGGAACCAAGGCATCAATCTTTGCCTTGACCATATTCTTTCAATGGCTTTAGGTATCCTCAGAACCTTGCAGGTGGTTCTGAAAAGATCCAATTCACGACTCATCTTCACGTTGCTCAGCTGCTCAGGAGTCGGCACGGCCGTCTCCTGCTGACTTGTGTCCGCGTTAGCCTCCAACCATCTCACTGCTAGCATGGCGCTAACCACCACGATTGACACTTGTTGATTCTGATCGGGCAACCCCGTGGAGTAAAACTCCTCCACGTCCCATACTAGCATCAGATTCCCGCGTTTGGGGTACCACAACGTCTGCGCCAAGCAGTGGCAAGGATACTCCCCATGGGTACTCACCATGTTCCTTCGGGTCCGATACCCTGAGGCTCCCAGCAACGGTTCCACTTCCATCAGGATTCTATGTAAATCGTCTTTCTCTTCTAAGGTGGGGAATTCAGTGGGCAACGCTCCACTCGCTTTCTGTTTCTGGAACTCACTCACGTTACCTTCGTTCAGTCTCATGAACTCTTCACCCACAACGTCTTGCAACTCGCCTTCAGATCTTTTCGGGACTGCCCGAAAGATCTTTGCCAACAAGTCATATCACCTTTCTGACATTCTGGCCAACCTCACGCACTTTGGCACGGAGAAAAGTTGGTCAACCAACACTTGTTGCGTCCTAGCATTCATCACTACCATGTGCGTAGGATACTTGCTATTACAATATGGCGCGGAGCTTGAACCCACCATATATTTTGAACCAGTAGGTCTGTGATAGGCTTCACTATCCTTCAGATTCATTTCGTTTTCTAGAGCTTCTCGCCAGCCTCCAATCTTCTGCTCTGTTTGTAATGCTCCAGGGAATATTTCCACGCTGAGGGACGTCACTAGCTCATGGGCACGCTCCAGGCGCTCGAGTGATTCTATCGAACTCGTCATGCTACAAAATCCCAAGGCTGTGACCAGGTTCACGTCCGTCACCCCATGGCAGTCTGCAACCAACTCCATGGCACTCTTATCTGACATGCTCAATCTTCCGTACAATCGTGCCAGTTGTCGATGCTGCTCGCTCAGCGTAATCAGGCAGTGTCCCAAGTTGCAAACATGCCCTTCCATGCTACTTTGTTGAGCCAAGCATGTGCCTTGCTTCAACCAATCGCTCGATGGACTTTCCTCAGGCAGCTCCGTGGATGGATTGCTCTTCCGCTTCGTCAACTTCATGGCCAGCAGATGGTGTATCATGGCCAGATCATGTAAACTCGCATCATCATCTAGGTCTAACGTAATATCCGCCGTCATGTCCCAGATTAAACCGGCATTAGGATGAGGGCACCAAGAAGGCTTCATGAGTTCCCACATCGTCACTAGACTAGTTTTCAAGGGACCGTCCCAAGAACCACAATCAAAACTCACTTGCCCCTTTAGCTCGGGAACCGAGGGTTCGACCACTCGTTCTTCCAAAATAATTCCCAGCTTGGGTTGTTCCACCATCAGCATCCCAGTTTCTTTAATACGTTCGACCTAGAAATTGAGTACCATGACTTGCTCATAGTCGAAGTACGCTTCCCTGGCTTCTTCATTCACGAAGGGATTATACGCCATCCGCGGTATGCCAGACACATATTGGAACGACTTCAGTTTCCCTAGTCTTGCAAACTCTTTTTGTCCTCTGACCGCTTCAATCAACTCTCGGCTCACTTTCAATTCTTTGTTGGAATATCTTCTCACCTCTTCCAACTTGCGATAGCTTTCCATATCACTCGACTCCTTGCTTGGCACAGTCAATGGCATGTCCTGATATAGTTCCAGGAGT